ATAAAAAAAAAGTTGTCCAAATTTACTTATCTGTGAGTGTAGTTATGATCGGTAGGATACTTTTGCACGTTACTGTACTTTCTGGGAGAGTTTGATGAATTTCTAAGAGTCAATCACCCTGACCAGCGTAGATTAGCTGCATTCTTGGCTGCTGAAGGTGCACTGCAATCTGATCCACTGAACGAAGGGATAAACTTCAAAATTTCGTCACCTCTTGTGGACATGTTAATCCAGCAACTTGTCATTCCAAAAGCATATCCTAATGCTCCTTCAATACTTATTCCAAATCGAGCTGATGGTTCTTTGGACACGTGGAGGGTTTTGAAGGAATGTTTCCAGTTCTTTGACAAAGACCTCCTGAGAATAGCAACTGCCCTCTCCTACAAATCCTCTGAAGTGCATGTTAGGGGTCGTACAAAATTACAAGTTCCAAGAGAGAGTGTGTACAATACAGAACTCATAAGGCTCTTAACAAATTGGCTTGGTAAGCAAGAACAATACACAATATCTGGATAGTACCATCTTATTGATCCAACAAAGACAGGAAATGAGAAGCACAAGTACTGCGATGTAGTTATCAAAAAGAAGGATAAACCAACAATTCTTCTGGAACTTCTGGCCTCTGGAAATGAAGACACTATTCAAGCCCATATTGACAAAACACCCAGGTATAAGTCACTGGCATCTGCTGATGAGGCTTGGATTGTTCACTACACATGTGAGGATGGATATCTGGATGGGGTGAAACCATATTGGGATGAAAAGGCAATAATGCAAGGCATTAACATGGTGCATTTCTGGCATGACTTGGAGTTTACAACTGCACGTATGAGTGCTTTCTGGAAGGATGAAAATGGCATGCTGCAAAAGGATTTTCAGCAATGGACCATCTAAAGTGTTTTTCTTCTATTGTTTTACATTGGTCTAAATGGTGTAATGTTGGAGTTAGTATGTTGGATGCAAATAAACTATTAGTGTGGAAATGTTACTAGCATTTTAACTCAGAAGTGTTTTGGCAACTGTTAGTACTTCACAAAATAGCAACAGAACTATTCCTATATAAAAATATACTATGAAGCTAATTTATATCAAATCCACTATGGAACCAAAAAATTACAGTACTATCAGAAGCATTTTAAAAAAGGAGCAGGGTGAAAAAATTGCACCTTACATTTTTAAACTAACAGATACCAAATCTTTGCAAGCATATTTGAATAAAGAAAGAATTAATTATGAAATTTATCAAGAGGAAAGAGTTTTCAAAAGAGTGCTAGAAAGTTCTAATCAAGAATCAAGAAAGAAAAGAAAACTGACTGGATAAACTGAACAAGCTTCAAAACAAATAAATTACTTTTTCTTTTTAGTCTTTTTATAAATTCAAACAAACAAGGATACTGCTATTATTAATATGAAACTTATGCCTACCAATCATAATCAAAAGGATTTACTGCTACCATTTTTCTTTTCATTTGTTTGTGTCTTATTTTTTAAATGATTGTCTTTGTATTCTTGAGCTGCTTTTTCAAAGTCTTCAGTTTTTAAATCTGAGACTGTGGTTTTGACATGATAAATGTTAGGAGCTTGAACATGACGACTAAATTTGTAGTCAGGCAGGACATAAATCTTATCTGGACTAAAAAAATTGAGAGCAGAAATTATTTTATGTTCATCATCATCAATGAAGATGTCAAAATCAGGGTGATTGTCCCTAATCACTTCTTGGCGGGTTGGAATAATTTTTCCTTCAGGATGTGAAGCAACCTCCTTTCCATCAATATTGACAGGCAATCTCTTAAATTCATTAATTAGCAACTTGCATTGAGGAAAATTAGTGAAAGTTTCTCCAAATTTTTTTTCTTTACCCTCCGAATCAAAACCCTTTTTTCTTACAGAACTAATAATTACTAATTCACTGATCAAGTCTTCTTTTAGGCATTGCAATAATTCTTTTGTGATAGAAAGAAAAGGAGCTTTAAACCTTTCAGGAGAAGAGTAAAAATTCCCAACATTATAGTTTTTAACATCACTTTCCCTTTTATTTCTCATTACTTTGTATTTTTCCAAAGCTTTTTTTTCTTTCTCTGAACCCTCATAACCATGAACCTTAAAGCCTGATTCAGTATTATTAGCAATAATTCTTTCTCAAAAATTTTTAAAGAACTCTTCAAAAGAAATATTATCCTTATTTTCAAGAAAATTATAAATTGCTGCTGGACGAAGTGGCATCAGGCATTCATCCCAATCACAAATTATTTTGAGTTTTCTTTCTTTTTCTTTAACTTTTTGTTTGATTAGTTCATAGAGAGAATCAATTTTGTTTTCATTCATAGTAATATATTATATTTTACAATAAAGTTGGCTTTGGACAAGTTATATCTTTAAACTCATCTCTAACAAATGGACGAATGTTCTGATAAAGATATTCTTGTCTTTTATAATCTAAAAAAGATGGTGTTAATACTAAAATAGAAAAGGCTTTAATTTCTTTAATAATTTGAGAAATATTTGTCCTTCTACTTTTGAATAAATTAAATTCAACAAAGGGTCCATTAGCAACTGTTTGAGTTTTGACAATGCCAGGATTAGTTGTTTCAAAAAGAAAGTGTTGGTACTTTTGCAAACCATTTAATTTTTTAAAGAAAATGTTTAAAACAGAGTTTAAATCTAGGTATTGAAACCCTTTACCATTTTTATAGCACTGAGCTTTATTCAAACCTGCTGAACTGGATCTTTTTACTACTTCAACAATATGATCTACACAGTTTACAGTGGTTTTTCTGTAAAGTTTTTTAATCAATCCAAAACTACCATCACATTTAAATTTAGTGTGTCCAGGAATCATAAAGTTTAATTTAATACTTTCATAATAACCACAAATTACCAAGTACAAATAAAACCAGATAGTTGTATTATTTTTATTTTGACCACCAGCATTGTCACAAGTAACTTTCAAATGTTTTTCACCTTTATTCAATTTTTTAATGCCATCAAAAATCAGACTAAGTGTACCATTAGGGCCTTTGCCAATTATTTCATTTTCATCCAGAACATAATTTAGTTGTTCTCTGGTTGCTTCATTTTGAACACCAAATAAATGCACTTTGCGACAACTAAGATAATAAATTTTGCCTACCTGTTGGTCTGAATGAGGCACATGCACATTTTGAGCTCAATCATAACTGTAATGAGCTGTAGCATTGATACTGCAATATTGAAGTTTATCTTGAGAATAATATTGATCAACTAGTTTTCTTTGCTCTTCTGCTAGTTTGGTATTTTTATTATAATAATTTCTTTCTAGTTTGGCCTTGGCAAGATGGTCTTTAAAATTTTTTAGTAATTCTCTGGCTTCTTCTTCCTGGCGAGCATTGTATTGTAATCCATTGCGAAAATGTTGACAAGTATCACACAAATCAGTTCTTGGACTCATAATTTGAATTTCTGGTGTCAATTGATGTCACAGTTTTCTGAATGCATCATATTTTAATAATTTTAAATTGTTGTCTTCTTCTAAACATGCCAAAAAATTCTGGTAAACAGATTTGTAAGTTGTTTCTGCTGGTAAATATGTAATTGGTTGAGTTATTCTATTAATGCTCCTTCCTGGACTTGGTAAGCCATGAATTTCTGCATAGTTTTCAAGATAATTTTTCACAGCAGTGGCAACATTGTAATTAATCACCATTTTGGTTTTTCATTGAGGCATTCGTTTGATATTGCCATGCAGTCTTGAAATTAAACCATTGTTAATTAAATGATTTCTAATGTTCTCAAAATGTGTTCTGCCAATGCCTAACATATTAAGATAAGTTTCTTGACATAAAGGTGTGTTGTGATTTCAACAATAGTAAGTTTTTTTATTAGATCTGATTTTCTTTTTTAGACGTCTACTGGTACTTACTGACCCACCATCCATTGCTTTAATTTGTGCCATCAAGAAACTATCTTGTTCTGGTTTGGACAGAGCTTGAAAAGCTTCTCTCAGTTCAGCAAAGCTTTCCTTTGGAACTTGGGCTGAACAACCACAATTACAGCCTTTTTCCAAGAAGTACATTGCTTGTTCATACTCAGAACCACCATTTTTACTATGTTTCATATACATATAACCCTATATATATTTTTTGTGACTTCGGCATTTTTTGCAATAGTGTATTGGCAGGATTACTGGTTCTGTCGTTTACTTATCGAGATATCTCCACGGTAATATCGGATCAGGATGGCGTAACGTGTTTTTTTTTTTTTTTATGCGCGTTTACTCCTGTTCGCTCGACGTTACTCAAATATGGAAGACACTGTTATAGATTCTTACTTTGAAGTCACCCCACCAAACCAGTTCAGATTCCTGGACTACTATAGATATCGGCAGACGCAAAATGATTTCACCTCTTCTTTCCGGGTAGAGGCGGACATACTTTGGCGTAACCTGGTGTCGCTGGCGAATAGTGGCAACGACGAGGTTAAAACGGCTGCCATCCGACTGCAAAATTCCTTTAAGGCATGGGCCGTCCTCTTTTTTCAGTTGCTATTAACTGGCAGATGGGTGTGAGGGGTCCCGTTGAAGTCCCGAGAAGGGAAAACATACTTCCATGACTACGGCAGGGTCGGACGCCTTGCTTTACGGTGAACCCGTTGTGATCTATCTGCCAGTACTCATTGATGTTTGGGGGAATTTCAACCATTGACTTTTTTTTTTCAGAATCATCGTCAAAAGTATCCTGACGTTAATGCTTTTTGGAGAACGATTGAAGATAAAATGCAGCTTGACATCGCAGAAGTTGGTTGCTTGCAGACGTTGCATTAGTCGCTATTGTTGTGCCTTTATTATTAATTTTTTTTTTCCGTCGTAGACGGCTGCTGCTTGTAGGTTCATACATAAAGCTGCGGGCGTGGTAGATACAGCGATCACTAATGTGGAAGAAAAAATGGTATGCGTGTATTAATATTGATATCACGAATCACTGCTCTGACCAATTCTTTTTCAGATATCTAATCGCAAGCGTATGAGGCATGGAAAGGTAGTTTGAAGTCTTGTTGTTTGCATGCCAGGTTTGTTATTATTATTTACATTGTTAACGGTTATAGGTAAAGGCACCCATCTACGATCAAGTCGAGAAAGAAATCATTGTCATTTCTGACGACAGTGGGAGCGACGAGTTCAATTTGTTGAGCACAGAAGCAGACCAGGACAACGAAGCAGACGCTGATAATATGCCAAGGACGCCAAGGACGCCAACAAAGAGACATAAACGTGCAAAGACTCCGATATTAACACCAAACAAGCCGATGATATCAAAATCTATGTATGATAAATATGCGGCCCACGTGGATTGTGCTTTCCGTGCAACGCTCCACCATGTTAAGGCAAACAACAAAACAAGTGTTTATCAGGAGATAAAAAACAAAGTAGAGAGATGGAATCGTCCCGTGCTGATGGAGTCTACAGGTGCACGAGAATGGATACACGTCTTCAACACTGACCTTGAAGTGGAAGCCGGAGAAACTGATGAAATTGTTATGTGATAGATGTTGAAGTATTTGGTTAATGAAAGTTGTCCATGATGGTATAAATCGCTATTTCTCAGTCTAATGGTTCCATGTGCGTTTTCCTATGGTTTTTTCATCTCTTTAGTCAAACAGCAGTATGTATTACAATGATGTGAAACACATCTCTATGGACTGTGCTGACTGAAAATTGAAATCTTTTATTCATGACTTCAAGAAAATTAAGGACCAGCTATTTTTTGGGCTTTGCATTGGCAGAACATGTGGATGGTCCCAGATTGTGGGCAAAAGAGGGTTCTGAAGTGCAAATACATAAGCAATGGAAGTGTGTGGTAACACAGTCTGACAGTACTCCCTTGTTCGCAATGAAGCATGGTGTCTGTTTCATCAGGTGTTTCCATTCAGTGACTAATCCACCAATGAACACAAGCCATGTTCCTTATGCAGAACAGATCTGCCAAAGAAAGCAATTATCTAGGTGTTCCTGGCATCAAAAATGATTTTCCACATGAATGTCCTCTGCTTGAAGTCAATTTTGTCTAGAATTGACACATTCCAGATGTTTATTCCTTGTAGCAGTCGCTTAGTAAGGATCACTGTTCACATGGCTTCTTTCTATGAACTAGTCATGAGTGACTATTGAAAATACATTGATGCAAGTGTTTTCATTTTGGTGAGAATGTGAATTCTTGCTTTTATACACAAATGCTAGTTGCATTCTCTTATAATTAGCAATAAGTTTAAATATTACTAAAATTTAGTCCATGGCTGTGCATAAGCCATTGCTCTGCCACTACATCAAAGCCTCACCAAAATTTTATCAGCTAAATTAGTTCATTTTTCAGCCACATTAGTCTCTTTTAGCTCACATGATCAAATGTTCACTTTGTCTGGTTTTGTTGCAGTCTGCCCCAAATATAATAATAAACCATAACAGGATTAATATATCTCTATATAACTAGAAGTTTAATTTGTGCCTGCCCGGCTTTGTCGGGCAGGCTTGTTGGGATAAATTTTTAATCATAGATTGAATTTTACATGACAAAAAAAAGTATATGGAAGTAAGTTGAGAAGAAGAGTGACTAACACATTTGTATAGTAAACGTAAGTTAACTTTTTGTTTTTTACCTGTACTATT